CAGACCTTTTCTTCCAGGCTTTCCATCAGTTGTGCTGTCAGGATGGGCTTCACTTCAGTCAGGCTAGTGTGACAAATGTCATTGCTGGTCTTTGCACCACTTCCTGGGGGGCTCCCCTGCCAGGGTGTGCTCTGCACGGTACTCTGAGTTCATGGTAATAGGCACATTCTGCGCCACACAGTTAACCTCCCCTTCCTATCCGTACTCACTGTTCTGTTTTCCTTAGGTACTTCTCCAGCCTCATATATTCCAGACATGGTTGATTTGCCAGTCGGTGTTTAAAGTTCTGTAAACGCTAATATATTGGCTCAGTCTTCAGAGCCTGTGAATGTCCCCTGTGCTATTCAAGACAGCAGACACTCATTTTGCCTGTTTTGCAAATGAACAAGAATAGTTCAAGTATTAAATGGATTTCTAAAAATGTATTTTTGGTCTCTGTTTTTTTTCTTTTTCAGAAACTATTTTTATATTTTGTATAGACTTTGCTTCTCATCAGCAAATACTGGCACAACACTTGGTAACGATTTATAAATTATTAATAAAAATAGCAAGAATATACTACTGTGAAAAATTAACTACAAGCGTTCTGTACAATTCTTGCAGACATATACTTTCACTCAAAAAGTCAATCTTTTGGTGTCTGTTTTTTAACCTGTGAAGGCCTGCACTTTGGAGGTGGTAAGATAAACTTGAGAGCTGTAGAATACTAGAAAATACTAACAAGAGAATATTGGTAGGTTTTCAGTCCTGTCATACAAAACATTTCAGGATAAAAACTAGTCACAGTTTCCTATCTCAATATTGGAGATGGCTATACTTTTTCCAAATATCTTGAGAAAATCTGTGCAATTAGTGTGCCTGTCATTTCCCTGAAATACAAGTTCCAGAATTCTGTCTTTTAATCAATTAAATCTTATTAATTAAAGCCAGCAACAACAAAACCTAACATCACAGCCAAAAAAAAAATGTTTGAAACCACAAGAAAGGAGGGTATTTTCATGTGATGGTGTTTCACAGAGGAACAGATTTGAGCTTCCTGAGTGGGCTACTTCATACCACAGAGTAAAATATGACTAAAGCTATGAAAAATATCAGGGCATTAGCCTTTTTAATAGAACAAAATACCAGTGTAAAATATCTTTTTTTCTGTCTCAGAAAGATGTCAAGTCACTTTAAAGCAGAATAGGTCAGCCTTAGAAAATGTACATTGGTAGTTTTTCACTGGATACATTTACATGCTGAAATTATATTCAAAATACACAACATGTTTTGTGCCAAGAAAATGACTCCACAGAACGGCCATCTGCAAAGCAGAAAATACTCTTGGACAGATTTGGAACTCAGCATGTGGTCCCTCCTGCAGACAGCACACTAGCTAATTTTACAAGAGATCAAGATAACTCTACACTGGTATTTTTCTGAGCCTAGCTAATGAGACGGCATGTGGCTTAGAAATGTGTAATGTGTGTTTATGTCAAATAACTTTCGTATTGACAAGGAAGCAAATGTAGTCACATGCAACTTTTCCAAACTCTGTGCAACTGTTTAGCCATGCTGGTACATCCAGAAGTTCTGCTTTTGCCTTTCTTAGGCAAGCATTTGCATGCACATGTCAAGTGCAGCATTCTCAACCTAGCAGCAATTTCTATTTCAGCTTACATCTGCCCTGAGCTGCCTGGCTGTGCAAGCTAGAAAGAAGCCTTTAGGATGTCTTTTCCACATCACCAGTCTATATGTGTAAGACCCCCCTCCCCAAATGATCTATAAGATTCTGAACAGAATGATCTGCAAATCTTCCCCTGGAAAAAGTGCGGTGGCATCTCAGTGCAGTGACAGATATTCAGCCATCCTTTTTCTTCTTGTTTTCATCAGATAATTTCTTAAGACTCCTTAACTCCCACATGGGAAAAGTACTTTGCCTTTTGTTGGAGGTACACAAAGAGTTGCTGCCAGGCTGTTCTGACCTTGCCTAGGCAGAATTGCTCTATAAATACCATTTCTAAGTTCCCATCATTTTCACCATAAGCATTATTAACTTAAACCCTGCAGTTGCTTGAGAACTTTTAGTATTCCCAGAGTTTCAAAAAATGAAGTTAAAAGAATTGTCAGATTCAAACTCAGATGTCCTGCCTCATGCAACATGTATCTCAAAAATGTGTCACCTTTCTCAAGTCCTTCCCCCTACTTCCAGTCATCCTGCAGAATTTGGGAACACCGAGTTCGGTAAATCTGAGATATTTTATTAAAAGGAAGACAGGCAATTGGAAAATCTACAGCACTTTGTTACTGAGTGAGAGTATATACATCCTGGCTGGCTTTTCAGCTGTTCAGTGCTTTTGCCACGCTGCCGAGGCAGTAACCAAGGCTGCCTTAAAAAACCTCAGCCCTGGGCTTCAGCCTTTTCAGCTGGAGCATTTCCTCTCTGATACTCAAGTGGCGGTTTTGATCAACAAGGTCCTTGAGTCAGATGAGTCTATTGAGTAACACACTTTATGTCTGATTATCAGGATCTAAGAGGCAGAAGAGTTATTAACAAAACCACTACAACTCGAAGTCCTGGCCCAGAAAAGCGACAGTGAATGTTTTTTTCGGCTGCCGTGGCCTGAAAATTCCCTTTCCTTCCTACCTGATTCATGTTGCTGCTAGACAGAGAAGATAGTGGAGGCAAATAGGAAGAGAAAGGAAGTTACAGATGAATTTATCCCTCAAGCACAGTTCATATCTCAGAAATACAAATCCTTTTTGTGAGAGGCAAAATCAGTAAGGGGTCGCAATGTGCTAATGTGGAGGAGACAGAGAAAATGAAATGCTGGTGACACCTCTGTGTCAGCAGCTTGAAGCCAAAATGCCTGGGAAGCTCAGACACACCTGGTGAAGCAAGAGACATGGGTGTGAAAGACAGGCTGGGGACTGCCACAGGCATGGACTTCCCAACCCACTGTCTCCAAACAATTTGGTTCGGTACAACAAGGAGATGGCAAACCACAAGTTTTAGCCTCTGTATAACATAATGTCTGTTTGCTTTTCCTGAGTCAAAGAAAAACACTTTTGGTGGAGAAGAAGAGTATTTCTATTTTGTGATGACATTTTCAGGAGTAACCTATGTCTTAACATCACGATGATCACTCTGCGTTGATGCTGGCTGTGCAGTACTTGTAAGACGCATTAGCGCTGCTCTTTTAAACCTACTGATTTTTACTTGCTCTGTAAGAAAAGTTAGTAGCTAGTTTAACTAACACACTTGTTTGGAATCAAAGGAGCATTGTGGTAAATGTGGGAACTAAACACAAGCCCTGAACTCTGAAATGGAGTCCTGTTGTAGCTGTGGCGGTCTGAGGGCAAGGCAGGACTTGTAGTGAAAGACAATTTGTTAGACGAGCAGATGTAGTTGGAAAAAAAGAAAAAGAAAAAAGACAAGCAGAGGAACAGAGGAACAAACAAGCTCTCCTCTACTCCTGAAGAAAGAACCGTGTGCCTGAAAGCTTTTTTTGAGTATTCTCTTGCTGTAAATCTCATGCTGCTTCAGAATGACAGGACTTTAAACCTGCTGCAAGGCGTGTTCCACACCCACAGCCACCCACCCTCGAAAATAATATATTCATGCCATTCTTCCAGGTGATTCGAACTTCAGATTGGGCCCTAAGTAAAAGCACCAAAGGTATAACTACATAGCGATTACTGATTGCAACCAGATAAATCTGTGACATTTGCTAAGCCATTTTATGTTGAATGCTGATATGTATATGACATCTCTGTCCTGACTCACTTGTTGATCCTGTCCAATCACCTAAAGCCTAGCTGAAATATCATCCTGCACATGGCATAAAATTAAAATTATTTATGTTTTTATCAAGGTGATATTTCAAAGTTTTGATTGTTTTGGTTGTTCTTTAGCTTGTAGTTCACTGTCCCCTATTCTGTATTTTTATTTTTTACATAAAATACATGTTACTTCCATGTTTTCAGGTCTAAATATGATGTGCTTTTAGTCTCAATCCATATCTAAAACAGTTTAACAAGGTTTGGAGCCACTTTTTCTCATCTCTGTGCAACTGTTCTGTCTTACGGTGTCAACAGGAGAGGTCTATTACAGCTTTGTAGCTAACAGTCACAGGAAGGTCTCTGCATCCATGGAAGCAAACTCTAAATACTGATCAAATTGACTTTTCTGTTAATAAGTTGTTAAATACTGAAAATATCTATAAGATTTGTTTGTAGCAGTATGATTTCAAGAGCTTTTGTAGTATACAGTTATTCCCCTATGAGAGAGCATGAATTGAAATTCATTTTCAACATGCATTTCTTCCATTCATTTTCTTCATAGAAAAATGAAGCAAAATCTTAACGGCATTAATTGTGCTTACAAAATAAAAATAGGGCCACAAATAAATTGCTCAGATTGTATTGAATAAATGTCAACTAAAATTTTGTACATTGCATGTATTGTATACAACAACTATGAACATTTTAGGGTTCTTATATTATCTAAAGCCAGATGGTTTTGCTCTGACTGGAAAAGTGCATAGTACAGTAGTGACAGAAATAATAGTTACTACCCCTTAAATTACAAGGAAGATTTAAAAAAACCCCAAACATTTAAAACAGTGTTGATTAAAGACACGTCTTATGAGCAGACAAACTTCATGGCTTAATAAGGTACAAAAATGAGACCTGGAAGGAGGTAATTAGAGGAATATTCTAATTTACAGTGAGAAAAGGTCTTTTTAATAGTGCGAGAAAACATCATCCTGTGTAGCTCTCAAGATACTCTTCATATTCTTCCTTACACTGACTATTTACTGTCTTCTGCTTCACACTGAAGTGATCTGAATTTGAGTGGCAGCTGTTTTAGCCTTGAGAAGAGAGCTAACTGACCTGCTAAACTATCCTCACTTGTAAACAGAAATATGGTCTGAAGCTATTCTCTTCCAGTGCATTTCAAGTATAATGAAGAAACCCACACATTCATTTGCCATAAAGCTTTTTTTCTGTCTCTTCAGGGAAGCAATCAGTCGTGTTTGTGAAGCCGTGCCTGGTGCCAAAGGAGCCTTCAAGAAACGAAAGGTATTTTTCTTTCCTTGCAGTGCAGCTGACTGTATTTTCTCAGTTCAACACAGAGGAGACCAGGCACAGCAGGCAGGTGACTTTAAAGCAGCTTTGAGAATTGCAGATGATTAATCATTTAAAATACTGGTTGTTTTCACCCACTGTATGTTGCCTCTTGCCCTTTTGGTCAGGACCTGCTTTATATAGGCATCTACATGTACAAGGACATGTAGGAAAAAGATTCTGTCTTGACTTTAAGTTCCTACTGTAGAAACCCCCTCCTTCCCTCCTTTTCTTTCTTCAGTAGATTGAAGGTGGAAGGCTTAGAACAAACAAAAGGGATGCCTTTTCATAAAATGCATGCGTAAACTGTGGAAATAGGTGCTGGAATCTCTTGCAGAGGACAAAACATACATAGTTTTGAAAGTGATTAAATCTGTTCTTGCAGCATAGCTCTACTGGTGACATTTAATGAGTCTGGAAATCACTGATGTCTGGAAATTGAGGGAACATACAGATGATCCTCTGGTTTCTATGCTCTTTCTATAGATGATGCTCAGTGACCAGAACTGACTGTGGGTCTAGTGGGCATTGGCCTAACATGTTTATTACCATGCTTTTATTCTTATTTGTGTGATACAAGTTAGAATCTGCATGATATTCGGAAAAATTTCTTCATCAAAAGGGTTTTCAAGCATTGGAGCAGGCTGCCCAGGGAAGTGGTTAAGTCCTCATGGCTTGGCAGTATAGGTTTAGGGTTGGACTCGATGATCTTAAAGGCCCTTTCTAGCCTAGATGATTTTGATTCTACGACAAGGAGTGGAGGAAGCTTCAGCTCAACTCTTGCATTGATAGGTCTCAATGGTCTTGTACTACTTTCTCTTTCAGAGGCCTGCTAGCAAAGCAGGGATTTAATGGTAAGGGAAGGAGTATAGCAGTTAATTATAGTCCTTGTGTGTGGTGTTGGGCGCAAGAGAACAGGCAGGTGAAGAAAGGTCTGCCTGCTTCCCCGCCTGCTTCACTAACTAGGCAGAATCCCAGCAGAAAGGGGTGGGATGAAATGACAGTTGTTTGCAATGGAGAATCTTCCCCTGGTGAAATAAGGCATATGTGACAATATATGTTACAGCGTAACTGGAAATTGCCTCAGAAATTAAGGTTGTGATTTTCCCACCACCAAATTTATCTCATTGGTATCTCTAGGTTCCCTGGTTTTTTGTTTTTTAAACCTGAATGTAAAGAGGAAAATACAATTTTTCTTGGAAAACAAAATGACACAAAATATCATTGCAAAAGTAAGTTAAACAGAGTCCCAAGTGCCTAGTGAGACATCTCGCTGTATTGCTGGTTTTAGAAGAAATATTGCTTATGAGTTATTGGAAAAAAATAGTGGTTTTGAAGTAAGTGTGCTGGATGAGAAGAGAAATTGCTCAGCCACAGAATTTCAGATAAATGGTAGAGACCGGTATCTTTTGCCAGTCTTTACTTTCATCAGTGGCTTATGAACATGGTTGAGATGTTCTTATTGTGGCCAAGTTTTCACACTTTACCCACACACTGGGCAGATGACCCTTGGGTATGAGCTAGGAATCATGGAGGTTTAAGGAAAGAAGAGAAACAAGAATATTCAAAATGGCTTGTTTTATAGAGAAGCTAATGAAGTACTAGCTCTGTAACATGACAAAGTTAAAATAGTGCAGCACAAACGCTACATGGAAGCAGTACGTAAGTAGCATATTTTTAATCACTTAAACAGAAGGAAAAGAAGCTTAAACTGAATATATGTAAGCTTTAAGGAGTAAAGAGGAACAAGTGTGTCCATCCTACTGGGGAAAAATCTTTCCAAGCTTGCAGGCAGCTTAGGACAAATACAAATACAGCAGCATCCCATCAGTGTAACTGGAGCTGCCCTTTCCATTTGGGAAGGGCCTAGAGCAGAGCAAACAACAGATTTCTTTTCAGGAGTTGAAGTGGTTTCTACAGAATAAGAACCTGCTATTTTAAGATACTGACTCAAGGCATTCATCTTAGTCTGCTCAATTGGTCCCTTGGTGAAGGTGAGACTTTGCTGTCTCACAAAACCCTGTTTTGTTAGGTCAGGAGTGGATGAATGCCTTCCAAGCTGCTGCCATTATTATTATTAGTGTTATAATTATTATTATTAAGAATTTATTTCCAGAGGAAAACAGCTAGTGCAATGAAATGAGTGTTGAAAAGTCAGCAACTTTTTAGAAACCTTTAAGAGTACAGCTAACCCTGCATACAATGAAGGTCATCTCAAACAAGCAGAGTACAAAAATGTGCTTTTTTCACCCCTCACAGCCAGCAAGCAAAGTTCTTTCTAGCATCTTGGGAAAGAGCAACCTTCAGTTTGCAGGAATGAGCATAATGCTGAATATTTCGACCACCAGCTTAAACCTAATGACTCCTGACACAAAACAGGTGAGTGCAACTGTTAATTTGTGAGGCTTTTGATAAACAGCCTATTGCACAACTATTTGCTGTCTGCCAAAATACTCGGTTGAAGTTACTATTCCTCAATAATGTCTATAAAATGAATGAAAACAGGAAATAAAGCACAGTAGCAGTCATAGTTTATTCCAGTATTCAGCACAGCTTTGATGAATTATTTTCTTGCCATGTTTTGGGTACCTCAGTTTTACTCTTAGAAGACCTACAACATGAAATGGCATTTTCTGGTTTTACGAGTTCTTCTTGGCTACAATTGCAAAAGAGATGCATTTGGGGTAAGTGGCTGAAGGACTGAATGTGCATCCCCAATTTTGTGGTGTTCTTCACAATTAGAGCCTTAACAGGCAATCTATTCCTGAGGCGCTGCTAAAAATACAGCCTCAGGGATTTTGCAGCAGTGAAATGCCAGTCTTATAGAGAGACAAGGCATCCTTTTCCAGCAGCCCATTTCTTTTTCTTCCTCATTGTGCTGAAGGTACAGACAGACTTCGGGGAATCACTGCAGTGGATTGTGAATGATGTATGAGATGAGAAAAATCCTTGCTCAGGGTATATATATAAAGAGAAAGCAGACAGACATGCGTAGTCACTGCAGTGCTATTTGCTGTGAGCCACATACTGCGTTAGGGCACACAACTTTCTGCCCAGATACAGTGAGAGAGGAAGAAAAAAAATAGAAAATCATGCTGTCCTTCAGAGCCTCAGGTTAAAGAATCAGAAAGAATGCATACGTTGTCTGTTAAAAAGCTTGCTTTTTTAGTTATGTTTATTATTATGCTTATTATTATGTTTCCATTGATTTATCTTCATTCTTATCCTTATTTAGAAATCATCATAATCTTCTGTAGTGAGTACTGAGACTGTTGGACCAGTGTTATGGTTGGTTGCAGTAGTTTGGAGCCTTATGGAATATACACAGCAGTGCTTTTCATAAGGACAGTTGCCCCCAGACAGAAGAATAGGAACTTGATGTTAATTATATCTATTTAGAAAGTCCCAAACCCTGAAACAGCCTTGTCTTCAGCTGATGTCAGGGTTGAAATGGAGTTAAACTGACTTATCGCAGGGAAGAATCCTCCCCCAGATATTTTGCCTTTTCTCTGAGTTGACAAAACTGTTTATCTTTCTCTTACATCATTACTTTTTAGATGGACTTGGTCTGGATGCTGCTGGCCTGGGAAATGTCTGGTTTCTCAGAGATCCCCAGTCTGGCTGTGGTGTTCCTTGCTTCTTGTTTGTGCCAAGCATTTGATTTGAAAATAAGCATGTCCCAGCATCCTTGCCCTTTGAGGCCCCACCCAGGAACATGGCTGAGAACTTCCATAGTGGCCTCTTCTTCCCAGAGTAGCTTCAAGGAAAGAAAAGGCAAGGCAGTGGTTGTTAGCCCTTGTAGCAGCCGGAAAACAATTGCACGTACATCTGCACAACAGTTCCGAGAACATGTTAAGCAGGGATGAGAGGAAAATGATTTTGTTTTGTCAATTTGTTTAACATGCAGATTTGGGTAGATGGAAATGTTTCTAAACTATGTGCACACATTACTGAATCGTTTCATTTTGAACAATGCAAGGCATTTGTAATTGGCTGTGCATTGTTCCAACATTATGGTATAGGGGAGGAATATCCCTATCTCAAACTAAACTAATACATTTAGCTGTGGACTTAAAAAGAAAAAAGTGTTTGACTTGAACAGATGGTTTCAAACACATTTCACTTTTCTTGGAATTTGGAAAAATAAGTTTTGAGGAAATCTGAAATCATTTTTGTTGTTTATGATGCTGAACTAAAAGATCAGGTTATTTGCACAATTCAAGACAATGACAATAATAGATGTATAACAGACCTTCACTAGTTCATCTCTATTGTTAGGAGCACTTCTTCTTTGTGGGAAAAAAGAGAAGGAAATCCTCACTGTTGAATAAGGCAACAATGGTTCTCCAATGAACGCTTAAACATTAACCACATCTTGAGAGGCTCCTGTGAGACAAGCAGGAGTACTGAAAATGAAGCACTCTTTTCATGATACAAGCACTACGAAGAGTTGTCATCTCTCACTGACTTAGTGAAGCAGCAAGATCCAGAGAAAGTCATGTCAAGCTTTTTTCCTTCCAAGGAAGACAGTTGCTAGTTCAGGTCTTTAAGATGGGGATGGGGAAAACAGCCCAGAGAATATCTTCTTAGCCCCATTTTTTTCCAAAACAGTTTTTTAAAGTATGTGATACCCTCTCCAAAGAGAGCAATTAAGATCCAAATTACATGCTTTGAGGCACTAAATAAGGGGTTTGTCCTATACAAGATGAAATCCTTGGCATAGTTCCTGTAACTCAAGTGATCAAGTGAAAGTTTCTTTCCGATGACCTTTTCTTTCTTGGTTGTTACATGATTTCATTATTATAAGACTTTGTTAGTTAAATCTCAGAATAGCAGTGGAGCAGAACTGTTCTTCTTGTATTAGATGTTCATGACAATTTGTCTTTTCCCAGGGAAATATCATATTAGTTCAAACTGCACATAAGCAAATTGAATTTCAAATGCTCTGGAATATGCCTGAGATTTTGTCCACAGTGCTACATTGCAGCTACAGTCAGTGTTCTGTTTGCATATTGGAAACATGTTGGTATTTGAAATATAAAATGACACAGTAAGTATCAGAAGCAATTTTGGGATCCTTAGGTGCTGTAGAGATAGCACGTTTTCACTGATTTTACCAGAGTTGTATCAGCAGAAAAGTGTTTTGATGAATAGGACCCTTTGCTCCATTCATCACTATCTGTAATAAAGAAAGCGAGCTTCAGCAGATTAAAATTTCTCCAAAGATACTGTATGACAGATCTATATGATTTACTGGAGTTCTGTGCACACTTAGCAATTTTGCCATGTCCTGCTATGTTTTAAAGAACACCAGAATAGATACTTTCATCCTTGAGTTTGTATATATTATAATCATACTACTCTTTGCAGTCCTTGTAGGTGAAATAGAGAGGTCATTTTGACCTCGTTTTTTTATTTTCACCCTTATACAAACCAAAAACAAATCAAAAGGGTAAACTGTAAGAAAACCTACTAACTCACACTTACTCTTTCTGATCCATACAGATCATAGCAAATCACCACATGCAGTCTATTTCCTTTGCATCTGGAGGTGATCCGGTAAGCATTTCTTTAAAGCTTTCCCCCACATAGATATTGCTTTATAAGAACTGTGTGGCAAAATTTGTTGCATAGCTTAGTGAAAGAAAAATATAACCACAGTAACTCCTGTTTCTTGTTTCATAAATTCTTCTTGATTGTTGCCATCAAACTCTTTTTGAGGGAAATGACTGACAAGCAGTTATAGATCCTCCTCTTTGAATGACTGAAACAAAAAGTATCAAAGGGCTGCAAGCATTCATATAGTAACTGATAAGAAGGGCTTTGTTTCACAGAGTAATGTAGTATCGTCATATGGCTATCGTGAATTTTTGTTCTGGTTTTTGTTTTGTATTTTTTACAGTAATAGACTGTGTTGCAGTTATATTTATAGAATGCATGCATTTAAATTTTTTTTTTCTTCTTGTCTCTAAGTGTGAACTGAGAGGACTGTGATAAATACTGCCTTCAGGTATATTTGCTACACTCATGCAGCTCGAAGACAGGCTTCCATGAAAAGCCCAGATCTTTCTTTCTAGTTCTGCAAAGCTTTCAGATACACCTACAAGTTTGGTTCTTTTAGATTAAAACGCAGGCACCTGCTTGTTGTTCTTTTCCCTGTTTTTATAAACAGTCCATCCAAAAACATATTAAATGTGCTTAAAAGGTATTTGTCACCAGGGAGAATTATAAAACAGGGACATTGATCACCTCTTACCTTAGAGGTTTGAAAGCTTTTAAACCTAGATTAATGAATCTGAGTTGAGTCTGCCTTTTCCTCCATCATATGATTTTCTGTCGTTTATCAGTCACGTACTACAAGTAAGGCAATTTCTAGCTTGCTTTGTGAGTTAATTCTCAGTTCAACTCTGTTAAGTTGAAGATCTTTGGCACATTCTCTTTTCATTTCACTATCCTCCTAAAACTTAAGGGCAAACTTCAGCCTTAGCATAGCTCTGCTGAGCTCAGTTCACTTCTGGAAGGGAAAAGGACACAATATCACAATAATTTGGGGAACAAAAAATTGATCAACAGCAGCTTTGAAACACAACAGATTGCAATGGATGCTGTAAATGAACAATTTCTGAAGTGGGCAGAGGAGTGATTAGCACAGTTCCCTGCCTCCGTAAGAAGATTCTTCATTCCCCATCTGCCATCCCAAATGCTAAGTCCTGGAAACACCATTGCACACTGCCCACTGATAGAGAGATTTACCAGGAAAGAGGAGAGGAGCAGCAGTAGAGATTGGAATTGGAGTAAACAAGCTCTCCCAAATGTTTGAGAGAGATAAAAATCATGCTACTGAGTCAGTGAACTACCAGAGAAATAAAACTGCATGGTGAAGGGAGCCTACAAGAGAGTGAAATTGAAAAGTTGTGTTCCCAATAAGACCAGTGCATGGTGATCTCATTCTGGGGATGGAGAGGGTAGATATGAGTATATGATGATGCTCTACAGCCTTGTCTCAGTAGGCTGGTATCTGGCACAACTTTAAATCAAAGGTAGTTCATAAAGGAGGTGGTTCCTTTGCCCTTTGTGCACACAGAAGACAAGATGCAAGAATGTGATTTAAATCACAGATTTATTAACCCGTTTGAGAGTCATCCAGACATAACATTTATCAGTCCTTAATTATTTCCACTTGGTGGAGGGCTGCCACCACCAAACCATATCTCCCAAACACAGCTGGGCTCCAGCTCATAAGCTCATCTCCTCAGATTTTAATCTCTCCTCGGAGATTTAAAATGGATGGAGAAAGGCCATACTGAAGTAGGAAACCAGATCTGCACCCATGTTTCTTCAGGAAATGCTTCTCTCATTTGGAAGTTTAGTTTATTTAGAAGAGAGACTGTCGCCACTTCTCCCCCTCTCTACTTTTCTGCTCTAGATGTCTGCCACACATTTGCACCAGCAATTAGCTTTGCAACTTTCCTCCTCCTCCGTAAGCGTTAACTACCTTAATCATTCAAAATACATCCACTGGAGAAGTGTTCCACAGGCTTGGAGAACAGCTTGAGTACCATATATATTTTTGCAATATTCCCCTTTGCAATGAGTCAGACAGCTTCTCTCTGTGTTGGTACATGGGAGCTAAAAATCTTTCCACCAAATCCTTTTTGCACACTATTATGGAATAATCTTGATTTCCCAGATTTTGTTCTGGATCTGCTTTAGCTCTCTTCAGCCTCTTGTTATGATGCACTAAACAATTTCATCCATAGTCATTTCAGGTCGCTGTTTTCAGACAGCTAGACAAGAAATCTGTTTTTGGAGATGCCTGCTAAAATTTCAGAGAGGTGGATCTCATAAGGTCTAATAAGGCAGGTCTCTCAAAGGACCCTGAAGGCACCAGCTTTTCAGCTTCATCCCTGTCTCCAAATTTTAACACTGCAATGCAGTTTCTTTGAATTGAAAATTATAGCTCATTCATACTTGTCTTCAGTCCTTGAATGTCAGGGACCACTTCGCTGCATCAGCCCAGTTCTGTAAAGCTTTTTGATAGGAACCTTCTAATTTAGCTGCTGTGAATTGTGCCCACCTTAGGTGCTTAATGGTTTGTCATAGTCAGCTTGAATCTTTAGATGAAATGAGAGTAGGTGGTTCCAGTCTCACACACTCACGCTAGCTATAAGATAGATCTTTGCTTTACTCAGGCATGAATATAACCATTAGCTGTGTCTGTACTAGTAAATAAAATGATCCGTGGCATGTTTGCTGTCCCAAAACGAAATAGCATGGTGAAATTTGCATCCACGCATTTATGCTCTTCCCTCCCAGTGATCTCTTGATATTGATGCCCAGAATACGCTGGTCCTTTAGAATGTTTCAGAGCAAGGCATGGGAAACCAGCACAGCCAGGCAAGGGAGAGTAGCAGCAATTAAACATTATGGAAAACTGTGGGGAAACTCTCAGGCCTTTACCTTGGCTCTGTTTTATCTGCTACTCTAGTCATAACCAGTTTTCTCACCCCCTTACTTGTTGATACGCACCATTACTTCCTCTCAAGTCATTGCCCAGACACTGTGTCACTGCTGCTTAAGGAATTACTGGACAAAATGCTAGGGCTATTCTTTTATGCTCTGCTTTTTTTACAGATGAAGCTCATTACTGCTGTGTCTGAGTGCCTTCCAATAGCACATTAAGTGATATGGCTACACATCCGTCACCATAACCATGAATGTGCTTCACCATTTCCCTTGCCATCTCCTTATAAAGGAAACTGTATAGACATACAGCACAGTGAATTGTTTTGGATGTGGGGTGGTGGTGTGTGCTTGCACTAGAGAAAGTTAAGCTGAAGAGGTCTGTCTTTCAACTGAAGTTTGATGTTTGTTATGACGTTAGATCTTCATATAGTTGTCAGTGGTCTTGGATCAGTCACCTGAAAAGGCGTTGGGTATATTTATGCAGCCAGCTGCTCTGTATTCTATGCATACCTGTTAGGTTTAGCTATACCTGACTAGCCAGGCATGTCAGAAAATATCAGATCTAAGCAGGCCTTCCTGATCACATCAGGGATATATGTCATTTTCCAGAGGTACCAGCAAGCCTCACATTTCCTGGAAGCACTAGCCTTTCTGTTGATCTGCACAATGATAAAAGTCTGCACAGGAGTGTGAGGGTGTCAGGACAGCAAGCAAAAAATCCCTAAAGAAGATGTCAGCTTGGTCTTGCCAGAAAATGCACCTGGCATGTGGCAAAGGGATGGCTGGGAGCAGCCCATGGGCTGGGGAAGGGTGTCCTGCGATGCTTCCTGTCATAGCCAAGCTGCGGCTGAGCACCCCTGTGCCATATGGCATTGTAGTCAGTAAACACGCCTGTTTGTCACACATGAATAAGCGGCGTTGCTTAGTATTTCTGAGGAGCAGGGCTGTTACTCCCACTCTTTCTGCCTCAGAACCAGTTGATTATTCATGTTCTGAACCAAAATCTCTAGGTAGTTTGTAGATGAGGACTTGTAATTCTACTCCCTTCTAAAAGAGGCCGGATCCAAATCCTGTCAAATTTGTTTAATTGATTTTCCAATGCCTTGGAAGGTACTTATAAGTTCTGCTGGAATAGATCACATTCTGGAGAAAGGAAAGTGGTGGGATTAGTACCAAACCCATAAGCATTTTTATGGGGTTTAAGTAGTACACAACTGAAGAGCAAAACATGTCATTTGAGGCTCTGCCCACAGGAATATGCACGCTCTGGACTGTGATCTTTTGCTATGATCACTGCAAAGATTTTTTGCATTCATTGTAGCTGTCTTCTTAATTTTTTGACAGGACACAACTGACTATGTTGCATATGTAGCTAAGGATCCTGTTAATCGGAGAGGTAAGTTAGAAATGTCTATTTGGCACCTTTTTTCCTTTGAGAAACATGAATTATTCGTGGTATAATTCGGTTGAATTTTTTTTTCCCAGGAAAAAAAATAAATGCATACCAGTAAAACAATTGCCTTTGACAGATTAATGGAAAGATTATGTAGCAAAAAAGAATAGCCACACACAAGTTGGTTCTCAAGCCTGGAACCTACAGGTCTTGCCTGTAGTTCACCTCCAAATATCACTTTGATTCTCTTCGTCTCTTAAATGCTTGCCTTAACTTGGCTGCATGAGCTTCTAGGCAACAGCTAACTCTCACCTACACCCAATCACTATGCAGGAACTAAGCAGTCCTCTGATTAAGTCCCCTGATGAGGCAGCTGAATCTGTTAGGTTTTCTTGGTACATGCCTAATTCTTCCTGGCAGAATCAGATTCTTTACGAGGTAGTGAGCTTTCAAGCCAGCTTGCTGGAGGCTGTAATCCTCTTTCTCAGTGAAGTTTTATTTAACATTGTGTTGCTCTGTGAGCGAGAAGTACAGGGACAGAAAACTTCTTGTTGAGTGTCTTCAAAGGCTAAGACCCAGTTCAGATTCTTAAAAATAAATTATGAAAAGTGCAAATTACAGTCTGAAATAATAGGTACAGAAAATATTCCTGCTTGTAATGCAGAAAGCATGACTAGGTCTTAATGTTAGATACAAAGTATCGTATAATGTACTTGAGAACCTACTTATTATTCATAAATTCATAGAGGAAAAAAAAGACTAGCTCCAAAAAAGGACTCAAGCACTGCCAACAGGATTTCTGCAGAATTCAGACACTTTCACTCCAAAGTGTGAACCCTGCAAACCCTGAGCTGCCACCTTACCATGGGCACAACTCATTCTGGACCTTCTGTATTTTGTCGCCTTAATGATTTTAGATACCTAAGAACCTGTTGTGTCTATGCGCAGAGATGTGCAGACTTGAGAGAGTTAGCTCATAAATAATACTTGCACTAAATATACTACTATGCTGAACACTAGTGAAACACCTAGAAGACATATGGTGAGTGGGAGGTAGGGTCCAGTTCTTTGTCATGCTTGTAATGCTCCAACATGTGTCCCCAGTTAGAAAGACTTTGGCATCAAACTGCAGGCTGTATGGTGCAGACCTTTCCCCTCCACCTGCTTTAGCAGTACCTTTCTGCTAAACTGGACACTGATCTAGTTGTCTGAAACACCTCAGTGGCAATACAGTGGACCACTGTCACAGGCCAGATGGTTGTACTCTAGGGTTTGGAGGAGTCCTGAGCTCTGTCTTCTGTTCCTGTGCAAGTGGATTTTATATAAAAACTGTTTCATAGACTGTGTTCCCTATATCTAAGTTGGATGTGCTTAGCCTTAGCTTCCTGTCACTGTGCCTTGTTGAGCTAGTCTATCCTAGATTGAAGAGTCATCTAAACACCTGGTATTGTCTTCCTGTGGGGTATTTAGTTCCAGTCATTTCTCAGTTTTCTTTAGGAAAAGTCTGACAGACTGAACTCTGTGTCTGTCTCCAGCTGCAGTGCATGCCCTCCATCCTTCTGATAATTTCTGTTCCTCCTTCTTTCATTTTTCTGCATTGTTTGAAAAAGGGAGATGATACCTGTTAATGTTTAGAGTAATCTAGTATTAATGTCTGCAATCTATAACAAAGGCTGCACCTTCCTACTTTTACTTGCTTTTGTCAACCTTGTTATTAGCTGGTTTCTCATAAGTCCTTTTTGCAGTAGTGAGCCACTGTTATCTCACATAAAATTCTTTCATACTTCAATCTTTAAGACTTCTGCATTACAGTTTTTCTTGGGAGTTTTCCCCAGCTGTGTGTGTACATCAGTGGTTCGCAGATCAGTGACTTCATATGTGACCAGTATTAAAACACATCGTTTTAAAAAGGTCTATTGTAGCAAGGGATCTACGTGGCCCTCTTTCACTATCACTGGTCAGTCTGTCAGTCTTTGTGTTATCTGCAAATACTTTAGAAGTGAGCCCAAATTTACTTCTGTATCTAGTGAAAATGTTACTGCTGCTATTACTGACACTAGCACTGATGCTTTCACTTCCATATTAGACTCATTTCTTCCCAAGTGTGGAAAAGCTCTCTTCATGCTTTATATTCTGGATCTAGCAAGATAGAGACTGTCTGTCTTCTGCTGTAACATTCACAAGAAATCATCTCTGTGTGAGCCAAACTTTCTCATGCTTTTACAAGAAGCACATCTCTTACCTGCTGAAAGTCCATTCACGTATCCAAGGAAACAGGTTACTCATTATGTCACCTACCAAAACTACTTAATGACTCATGCTTCATTTCAGCTCCACACAGGTTTAGCAATGAGCAATGTAGCCTCTTTAAATCCACTCTCCAGTTATAGAATACAGAAATTGTAGCTTTGGTTGGCTTAACTACTTTTGGTCCACGTTCTTGTAGGTAAGGCTGCACCTTATCTAGGGGTTGCTTGTTCACTGCCACCAGCAGTGGTGAAGAAGGAGTAAACAGCAAATACCCTACTGCTAACCAGGGATGTCTGCCTCTGTCTTTGAACACACAGAGGTCCTGTTTTTGGCTGATGAATCCACGTCCAGCATGCAGCTAAGGACATTACTGCCTTGAATCAGGCATTGCCTCGGCATGCTTAGCACAGCAGGTGTTATGAGAAGAAAGCATCGCTGGATCTGTTTAACAGGGCAGCACTGTGACTGGTGCCATCTCAGGCTGTGAGAGGTGCCTGCTGAGGGAGACCATGCATGCCCTGGTCATGCCATACTGGCATAATTGCAGGTTTCTTGGTCCTTTATTCTGGCCTCTTCAGAAGTCTGTCCAGCAAGCTGAGAAGTCATTACTAAACCTCCTTAGACTCCCTATATTGCTTCAGCTAAAATTATGTCACTCAAGTGTCATGACCAACCTTTATTTGTAGGACACTGGCAACCAAAACACTTGATTCCACTGAGCTGGACTTGACACATATACTAAAATTGAGTTTTTACCTGAAGAATTTATATTCAGGTTATTAAAGCAGTCAGGGGTGATACAAATTAGTAACTTTAAACAAGGTCCCACTGTACTGTGGCAGGACTTGGAAAAGAACCAGAGTTTCAAATTTAGTCCAGTCTGTATCCAGTAGGCCATGTACTTTTCCAGCACTGAATATAGAAAATGAACTTGCCTGGGCTTTTCTGAGTGTCATTTAGACTGTTAGCTTCCAGCTATTAAGACTCATCCACATTCCTGTAATGTTAGGTGAAATCTTTATGAGTTTGCCTGTGTATGTTGTCACATAAGATGATACCTCCAAAACACTCTCTGATTTAAAACTGGGATGGATTTGGCTGCTCAGACAGCTGATAAAGGTTTCTCCATCTCCTGTAGGAAGAGAGCTTGTGTTGCCAGCCTCCCTCCTTACTTCCTTTGTCACACTGGGTTCAGAGAGGTGGCACATGGGGGAGTGCTGGAGTTAATTGAGGTCCTGGCTCTGTGCTCCCCACTGATTCTACGGTTTGCTGGGAGCATCTCCATACAGACAAACAAGAAAAGTTACCCGCCTCTGTATTACTGGAATCAAATAAAATAAAATAAAATACTAGGAAGTATCCTAGTTATTTTTCCTCCTTCAGCTTGTAATTTGGGAAATTCTGGAAACTCAAAGGAAGTGAACAGCTTGCAAACTTGGCATGACTAGACATAAAACCGAAGTGGTAATAAAATTGAGGAAGCAAGGAAAAGCAAAGAAAGCTTTTTTTGTTGTTACTATCTACTAATATTTTTATCATTTCAACTTAAATCTTTGTTAGAATTCTTACATAATCTATTGCATTTAGGTAATATCAAGTGAAAAATTAGAGAACTGATTTGTGGTAATGCAGTTACACAACAGAGCAATTTTATGTAACCTCCAAAAGGACCCCATTGTGTGAAATACACTGTGCCAACACTGAGTTTTATTGAAATGTGCACACCATGAATAGGGCAACTATACCTGACATGTAGGTGTTTTGTCATAGGTCAGTGCAACCCACCATAACATAAACAATGATTTGCATGCACATGTGTCAAATCTTTTTCATTTAGCTTGTCATATACTGGAATGCTCTGATGGCCTGGCCCAGGATGTCATCAGCACCATAGGGCAAGCGTTCGAGCTTCGATTTAAGCAATACTTGCGATGTCCTTCTAAGATACCTACTTTCCATGATAGGTGAGTGCGATTGCAGAAGACTGCTAAAGGATCTTCTTTAGCTTTATATTTACTTAATAAAATGTGCTGTGGATGCAGTTGATGGAGACAGACAGGATTTAAACATTAAAGAAGAGATTTCTGCTGAATTAGCAAAGCAGCATTTGCTTAATGAATATGGAATGAGCACAGTCATTTTAAGACAATGGGCTAATATGGATTTCATAGTAAACTTATTGAAATGATCATGTGTTTTCTGTTGTAGTTAGTAGGCAGCGTTGGATGGCCAAGAATGGATGTTATTTGTGGCATTTCCTCATTGTTACTGTCATAGCAGCTCTATCAATTTAGATGAAGTAAGCTAGAGCTGCTGGGCTTCCAAAATGACTTGTGATGTTTCACTATTTCTGATGTTAGCCAGGATGAAGTTTTTAGGAATGTGATGTATTGTATGGAGGCTTTGACTATATTGTTCTCCAGGGGATACAAAATCTGTCTGCTTGTATATGTTTGAAAGGCTGGGATACAGCGTTCTGTTTTCTTTGGTGAGCTGTGTTTTTGATATGGATTATTATATGTTTGCTAACATTAGTACAAATTCCAGTGAGCTTGTACCCTGTGTAATCTCTTATATCAGAGTAAAATGAGTATACGGCGAATGTAAAATGCTACTATCCTGATCTGCAAGCATTCTGTACTCTTTTAATGTACCTGTGTAAATGACTGTTAAATGTAGATGGAAACCACAAATCCTACCTCTTAACTTTGTGAAATTCTTCCAGATTTATATTGGTGATAGAGCAGCCATAATTAAAGTCAAAGTTTTAGAGCTTATTCAATCAATCAAGTAACAATATTACAAATACTACTGTAAGGTTAAATAAAATTGTTTGTTAATGTAGTTTATAATCATCTTTAAAGCTAAGTAAAAACATCCTTTACTCAGTATAAAGAATTTAATTAATTTCAAAAGGTATTTAGAGTTTGTCTAAGCAGAGAAGGTCTGCTGCATGATCCATCATGGCTTCCTGACTTACAGTGGTAGCTGAATTGTCAAAATAATATGCAATAGTGATCCCCTGGCAGGCAGTCTTAATATGCTGCAAGTATCAAGCTGTAAGTGATTTGCAAGCAAGGGGCAAAATAAAGCACTTTACTTTCTTACAGGATGCAGAGTTTTGATGAGCCATGGATGGAGGAAGATAACGAGGCAACAGAACAACATGCCTATTACAACAACATCCCAAATAAAATGCCCCCTCCTGGCGGCTTCATTGACGCCAGGCTCAAAGCAAGACTTCCCAGTGCTGCAGATACAGCTCAGGTCAGTGTAGTTGCATCTCTGCTCTCGCCCTGATGGATCCCAAGTTTTTTAAAAATGTGTATTTTAAGATGGTTACATTTGGACCATTTATATAGCCCTTCACGTGTGGCCACCTTCCTTTTGAACAGGCACTGAAGATATAGGCAGTTACAAATTAGGTGGGTTCAGAACAAAAAAAAGGAGATGATTTCCTCATGGTGTTGAAAGATTACACAGGTTCAAGGAAGAGAAATCTACTGAGGGTCACTACATCTCTATGCTTCAGAGAGTATCAAATAATGCACACTAACTGGGAAGATTTGATGCAGAAGCATTTAAACAATCTAAGACAATCATTACTAATGGTTCATTATGTTAATAACTCAGCAGTGATCAATATGCAGTAGGTTTCCACCTCACATTTCACTGAGGTCAGCTTGGTTATCTCTAAAAGCATTGCTGTCGAAAGTTTGACTGTGGTATTGACGTAGCCAACTCCAAAAGGAGTTTTGAGATGCAGCACACCTCTGCTTAAATCCAGAGATGCCTTGTCTGTAGACAACATCCTCTGTTCAGTACCAGAGGGCATCCTCTGGTACCAGTCTGAGTTTTTCAGCTCATGCTTGGAGAGTGCTGGGGCATCTTCTGGTCCTAGGTGTGTTTCTGTGGAACGCTTTTCCAGGGCATAGTTTGTCAGGGCTTGTTGTGTGAAGACAAATGTATTGGAGGAGATAATGCATCATTTGGGATTGCGGGGGTTGATAAAAGCAGGGAGCAGGGAAGTTTACATGAAGGTCACCGTATCTTTCTCCTACACAAATGCATTTGTGCTATATATATTCTGACACTATGACGAGTCTGAAACGGAGAGTGGGAGTACACAGAATACATGCCAAGGAAATTGTCAGAGCCCTTCATAATTTAGCTGAGCATTTTAAAGGCAATTGAAAATTTCTTCGCACATGTGTCCATTCTAGTCTGCAGCAGGATTGGGAGGAGAGCAAACCTATTACCAGAATCGTCACTTAGGAGACAAATTCAGTGAAGACTGGCATCATGTGCCTCTTAAGCAAGGTGAGTTTTGCTAGTTTTCACTGTAATATGGCAGGAAGTCTTGGATGGGCAAAGCATGTGAAAGCCTGATGCCTCAAAGTCTGAAGTCAATGAACTGCACTTTGTGATAGATGACTCTTTTCTGAATTTTAATGTTGATGGCAGAGAAAAGCATTTGCTAATTACTTCTGGATAAATTCTTAAAGGTGCATCTTCATAAAGTCTTATCGTTTGCATAGCAGTTGCCCAAAATGGGAGTTGCCCCAAATCTTCAGCTCTCTAACTTACCATGTCTTAAAACTCCAGAGTATTTAAAGACAGGCTGCATGGTCTGTTCTGAAAATCTGACCCACTATGGTATCCAAGATGGAGTTTCCAAATGAAAAGCATAATGTAGTAGTTTTTTTAAATGTGGAGCAATGCATGTATTTGCATACAATCTCTGCTCCATGAATAACAAATAATGCGTAATGTTCTTTTTGTTGTTGTCTATGAATTTTAAGCAAGTCACATCAAAATATACATATGAAATTTCACCCTATCCACCTTTATGTTACAGCTTTACTGTGTTTCTGGGGACACTTTTCAAATGGCAGAATATGTTATCTGCTGTTAGTCTGCACAGATTTGAGGATTTAATTCCATTTCCTCCTCTCATGACCACCCAGCTGAATATCGTTTTTGAAACTGACAGTCTGTATTTACAAAAGTTTTCTTTCCTCCTAAATAATGCCTGTCCCCAAACCCTCACTGAAACTGGATACAATTGAATATCCTCATTGAAAATGGTTATAGTTCTGAATCCATTCATCAATATTTCTTTCTATTAGATCCTGCAGTTATTGACTTTACATTTCTCCAGGAAATTTTAAACCTGTGGTAATGGGGTACGATGTTACTTGGTCATTATAACAACACTGTTCTGTCAAATACAAAAAAGAAGACAAAAAATCTTTAATTTTATAGGATCTCTGGATATGCTGGAAGAGAAATCACAAGTAACCCCAACAGCAGAAATGCCAACATACATAAACACCCAGCATATAAATATAGAAGCTCTACTGGCACTTCAGGCGGATGCTGAAAGTACCTTCAGTGGAACAGCAGATGATACCAAAGTGAGCAGCCCAGGAAAGGATCTGTTTGACATGAGTAAGTTACCCTCCTATTCACTTCCTTTTCTAACAAGTGATCCAGTGTGGTTATGCACTAGTTATGTATAAGAATAATTTAAAAATTCTCCAAATTTTAGTATTATGTCGTAGAATTAGGGTGAATTCTGGAATTCAAGGTGGTTTCATATTGAACTGAGTGAAAATAAGGGTGACTGAAGATTTTAAGCTGGTTTGAATTATGTCTGAGTCGAGTTGCAGTCTATGCTATCTTTAGCATCGCAGGCAACTACTTCAGAAGAAAAATAAATCGGGAGGCTTGTCATGCAGGAAAGTGAAGGACTGCATGGCTGGAGAATTAGCATCAGTCTATCCTATGAATATGTTACTAGGAAGTCAATGCACACTACAAAAGCTTTGTGCAAGTTTTTCCCTGCTTTGAGAGGGAAATTAAAAGGCACAGTTGTCCCTTGCTCTGGATAGGCATAATGTACACATCTATACAGATCTAGCTATCTGTTCCAAATTTGAAGTCAGCTTTTCCAAAATTAGAATCATAGCCGTATCTGTAAATCTGCTTTCTAGCTTCAGCCATAATTTGATGTTGGTGCTACCAGTACACATTGTTTTCTGCCTTAAGGAGATACTTAATGGGAAATACAGGGAAAGCAGTATAATGCACAGAAAATTTTCTTTGTTTTTCTACTTTTACTGCCTCCAATCAGTTGCTGACACATGATTTATTTAATTCAGTTCACATAATTAAAAGGCAGTGAGACAAAGCAGTTGGTGCCTATATGTTATTTGTAAAATAACATACCTACGTTTCTGTTATCTCAATGTACATAAAACTGTCTTCTTGGCATGTTTTTGCTGAGATATGGCTCTATTTCCACAGCTTGGGGAGATTTTGGATTGAAAGGAAGGATGAGGAAAGAAAGTTGAGAGAGTATCTATCTGTAAATACAGATCTGAAATGAGAAAAATCTGCTGTCTGAAATCAGGGATGTTAACCTTGACTTCTAAGAGGCTGAGTCCTTAAAACATGCACATGCTTCCTTCTATTTTGTACACATCCTTTTCCTAAGAATAGGGAAAATCGTTTACTTGTCTTCCAGTCTTCATTAACCTTTACTAACCATTGGATCATTGAGGAAAAGTAGTATTAGAAAATGTATCACCTAGCCCCAAGTTAGTAGTTTGTCAAGATAAACATGTTTGGCTTAGTGCAGACTGCAATGTAGTGAAGACATAGATAAGTTGTTTGTAAGAATCAGCTGAAGTATCAGTAAGCTGTGACAGCATGGTATTTACCCTATTTCTCTGAGCTAAATTAACCTCTCTGTGGCCCCATGCAAACATGGCAATGTACATCTTGCATCTGAGCAGACTATTTAGAGCTGGTGTATTGCTCCACCATACTGCTCTGCAGACGTCCTTGCCTAAGACTAGTGGGAAAGGAACAGTATCTCTTTTTAATATGCAATAGTTGTCCAGGTGGAGGTCTGGCGAGGGGAAGAAGCTTCCAATAAGTAAGTACAGCATATAATGAAGCACTGGCTGACCTATTTACTATTTCTGTAAGACTGCTCAGATCTGTAATGACACATCTTTCTATTCTACTCTACAGAAAGTTAACACTAAGTTCAGGATATAGCTGAGGTTTAAAAGATGCTTCCCTGAGGCTGATTTCAGCTAGGTAAATCACGTTAAAGGTATTAGGCTGTGTCTTAAGTTACAAAGTCCTTTTCATAGATGGAGGCCAGGGGTAGGCTGAGTGGTAAGTTGGCTGGTTTGTTCTAGACATACCCGTGGGCTGGAGACTCAGTAATGGATAATTTCTAAATTAATATGTTGTTTCAAGAGAGACCAGATATAACGAAATTGGGTAACCATATTATGCAATTTATTTGAAATGAAACTGTCTGATGCACCTGGTAAGACAAAAAAAGAGCTCTGCCTGGTACGAGGGCATATAAATGTAACTGCTGACAATAGCCATTACCAAAATAAAATCAGTAACTTTTAAAAGCTCCTGCCAAGGTTTGCTCTGATTTTTATCAGTGTCTTTCTGTGCATAACATACATTTTTAATGTATTACACTCCTCAATCTTAACAAAATCCTCAGATCAGTAGGCCTAGCAGTACCTCTTCCCTCAGTTTTTTCCTAAGAATAAAGGTATGTGCCTGTAACAAAAATTAAATCTAGTTAAGAAGGTCTGCAATATCACCATTTTTAACATGATTTATCTCTGAATGATCTTATCCTTGTTTTATTTCCATAATTAGAACCATTTGAAGATGCCCTCAAGAACCAAACATCTGAGGCTGCATTGAGGAAATCCACCTCCACAGGATGCACCAGTCCTCTTTTATCCAGAAGAGCTGACTGGACTGTAGCTGAAGACCTGACTACAGAGCCGTGGTATCAAGGAGAGATGAGCAGGAAAGAAGCAGAACAACTATTAAAGAAATGTGGAGACTTCCTCGTGAGGAAGAGTACCACGAATCCTGGCTCCTATGTGCTGACAGGCATGCACAACGGACAAGCAAAGCATCTTCTTTTGGTGGACCCAGAAGGAACTGTAAGCACTGACTCCTTAGTAATACAGGAGGTTTCTGACAACACATTTTCTCTAAATGTGTTTAATCTTATTTACAGCTTTTTAACAACTGAACATACTACAGCCTCATATCTCTAATAGGCCATCACATCTCTAATTCTCTCCCTTGTGCCTAGCAGAAGACCCACTGCATGATTCCTACACATTGCAGGGAGCCTTAGGGACGTGATTCCCCAGCAAAGTCAAGCTTTGGTCACTGCAGTACTTAGTCAAAAGTGCAGCTAAGCCACCTATTTAGCCCTCTTGCTGAGAAGCTCCTGTTGGCTGTGCAAGTTTGGCCTGCATGCCAACATAAGCCCAGGGCTTATGTACAGGAAACTGTACTGGGAAACTGGGGTAAACATGCTCCATCTCTTTGCTGCACAGGGACACCCTTGGCTGATAAAGGGACCCTCCAGCAGCAGATGGAGATGGCAAGGGACCTCCAGTTTTCTGAGTCTGTTCTGAGGAGGCTTAGTCTTGTCTGAGAGAATGAAAGCATTGCCATGTGTTTCATTCTTGATTCCTGGTAGCTGAAAGTGGGCAACTCCTTTTCCTCTGTTAAAGGACAACTTTAGATGACAAACTCTGGAATAAATGAAAAACACTTGTAAAGGAGTTGGTCTGTTGACATGTGTTTCAGATGAGAAACCTGTGGCAGAATTATGCTGGTCCTCGAGAGTCTGTAACACTGTGGTGAGAGATGCCAGTGGTATTTGCTGTAACTACATTTGCCACATGAGGCCAGTCAAAGAATGATTTTGCACTGTTTAGGTGCCAGCCACCTAGTCCTGCCCTTTACTGGGACATCAGCCTGGGGAACTGGCCCTATGCCTCCTTTGCTAAACTTCTGCCACCGGTTTGGTGACCCCTACAACAGGCCCCCCTGGTTCTCCCTTCAGCATAAACCCACAAATAGCTGTTACAGGCTACTACAGGGAAAACACTGCTTTGTGCCATAGCAAGTGCAGGGGTGCTATGTCCCAACAGCAGCAAATCTACTCTGCTGATTGGCATGAAGTACTGTGGTGACTCCCAGGACAGCTTCCTCCTGCAGAGGACAGTGGAATGCCTCTAAGAGCAACACTAATTTGCTGACCTGCTCATTCTCTGCACCTAATCCCCTCCCTCAGCCTACTTGTGATATGCCATTATGGCCCAAATGGCTCTTAATCTCCTTGCTCAGGAGGCACAGCTTTTCCACAGCTATATTTAAGTTAGCTGCACTGCCTATATGATTTGTGGGATCCTGACACAGCTCCTGAGCAGCCCTATTTGCGACTTGCCAGAGCGGAGAATCATCACTAAAATGCCAGTGTGTGGCCAGCCACAGCAGCGTGCCAGCAGCCTGCATTTCTTCCGTGTGGCCTCAGCATGATTACTCGTAATCACACAAAGGCTACCTGAGAATTCATTTCGCACACAAATTACCCAGCAAAATGTTACAGCTCTTAAGGATGTGTTTTCAGAGCAGAGTTAACTGTTCAGTTTCTTATCCAGCTGACAAAAAATACCCCAAAAAACCCCAAACTCTAGTTCAGGTAAAGGAAGCTTAAAATGGAGGACTACAGTACTTTTTCTGGATTTAGAATTAGGGCCTGAACTCTGTTGATGGCAGAGTATATTGCTTATCATGAGAAAAATCTCAGCTGTTAAATGGTCTGAAAATGTGTTATTCTGAACACAGATAAGGAAAGTTACTGCTGTTTTAAAGACACCTTTTCATTTTGAAAATACAGCTTTGAATAATTACACAAAGTGGTGTTTCAAAGAAGAATTGGGAGAGCCTGTGGTTTTCTTCAGTGACTCAGCTACCTGCAGACTGAGCAGATAGCATAATTTGCCATCAAAGTTGTTTGTTTATATTTTTACCCTGTGACATCCTCTGCTAAGTTTCTAGCAGTTTTGCTAGAATTTAATGATGAAGACCGAAATATTTTCAAGAGAGGTGCCCACCACTGCATAAGCTGGCTTTGGAAATTTTTAACAAAAGTTGTTCTCTATTTCTGAGAAAGGTTCAAGGAAAATAGATGACATGCCTTACTTCAGAGCAGCGCTTACAGGCTTTTGCTTGTGGCAGTGTAGAGCCATCTCAATACAAAGCTTTACTGCAGCATGACATTTGCTAGAGAGCACTTCTGATCTGCAAATGGAAGCTGTATGACTAACTTGTTTTAAACAAAGGAAGGAAATGTTTTGTGAAGATGTGGTTAAATAATGAAAGATTGTTTTGTAATATAGATTAGGTTTTGGCCTGTCCTGATAATTTTGACTGTTTTATCTTGCAAAATTAGTTTCCTTTTATCATGGGTATAATAATTTGCTCAGCAGGATGCTGGTGCAGAAGGCTGGTAAATGGGGTAGAAAAATGATGTCCCCTGCCTTGAAGTGTTTCGGTTTCAAAGGCATAGGGGTGTACTGTGCAGAATGGGGCAAACCCAAGCCAAGCACACGTGGTGGCTGGATCACTTTTGGGGAAAAGAATTTTCCAGCACCTGAAGAAGAAGGAAAGCGCAAAGATGCTGAGGCACATGGAGAAGCTGGGTTCTGGCATCTCTGGAAGGAGAACTCTTTCTAATGAAAAGGTGAAAACACTTAAAGGGAGCAGGTGGTCTCTTGAAGAGGAAAATTTGATCTAAAACCCCAACTTACAGTGAAACAAAATGTTGTGCAGAAAGTTTTTGAGCAGACCTATTCAGAAAGAGTAATAGAAGTAGACTGGCCCATAGGTAGCATGCAAAATAACTGTTTGGAGAAAATGGAGGAAGAGACAAAAACTCCAGAAATGCCAAATTCCACTGATTTTGGTAGAAAAGGGATGAGTCTCTAAAATATGGTAAATTTTATTCTTAGAGAATTTTAGTATGAAGTTAAGGGGAAAAGTATTTTGGTCTTTAATTTATCTTTTTGCATCCTTTTTTTGAAGGTTCGTACAAAAGATCGTGTCTTTGACAGCATAAGTCACCTCATCAATCATCATCTTGAGAATAATTTGCCAATAGTTTCTTCTGGGAGTGAACTCTGCCTGCAGCAGCCTGCTGAGAGGAAGTACTGACTCCAGATAACTATTTTAGTTTTTGTAATTTGTAAGCTATAACTGGTAGAAATTATGGATCTGAAAAAAAAAAGTACATTAAAAAAATTACGGATATTCACATATATTTCACCAGTATGTTTTCTTTAGGTTTAAGAAGCCCCATTTCCAGTGGTACACTTGAAAATTCTCAATGCTTTATGTAGACATGAAGTCACAGCAGAAGGCTTTCTTAAAAAGGAATTTAAATGAAATGTTCAGATTCTCTAATGTGAATATTGATAGTGTATATATACGCATTATATATATAAATACGATATATATTTATATTTTTCAAGTCAGTCTGTTGATGGTATAGAACTATCTTCTGTGCCATGTGTTTTTACCAGAAGAAAAATTCCAATTGTAATTGTTCAGATAAAAATGGAATTCATCAGTCTCAATTTCTTGAGAAATAAATATTGGGAATCTTATTTCTGCTTTTACCTAAGAAGCACAACTATGGGGATCACAGGTGGATTATGCTGGTTAACCATGGAAGGAGTCTGAATTTAGCAATTAGTATTCCAACTCAGAAATTTAGCATAAAATGATTTTTAAAAGCATTATTCAGTGTCATTGATATCAAAATAATTTTATCTTTCTGATGTCAAGTTTGAATTCTTATATGATGCTACTCCAAACATTTGTATCTTGCTTTAACGATTTTGTGTGACCTCTCTGTGTATAAAGGGTGTGCACTTGATTTTTCTAAGGATAATATAACAATATTCAGTAACTTTAATTTATTAATTTGAGTGCTAATGCTATTTATAAGTAGTTCTCTGCTTATAGTGAAGATCTAGGTGTCCTTGACTACCAGTCTCCAATGAGATGTTATATACCGATTAGGCAAGTTCAAATAACTTGTGTTTAATAGGTTTAATACAACACATAACATGGTTGTTCAGAGACATAACTGAAAAATCTTTTCTTCTTATAAACAGTGAAAACTATCATGACTCAGTGGACATTTGCATTTACCTTCCAAAGCCTTTACTTTGGCCTTCAGCAAGTGATAGGTATTGCAAATATAATGCTTTTCTGTAAATATCAAGTCGGAAATACACATGTACTAAAGATGCATTTCTAGCAGAAATGTCCTTGGCTTTTGGTACTGAGAAAGGTTTTTAAAAAGATTTGTACTATTCAAATGAAAGTTATTTTCCTATTTACAAAGCTTATTGAAAGCCAAATTCAATAGACATAGTTCCTCTAAAGGCAAAGTTTGTGCCAGAATGAGGATTTAGCCTTCAGTGTTCCAAGGTTGTCTCTAGAACCAGTATCTCAAATCAGATTTTCAGACCTGATTCATAAAGGCTGTGACTCAGCAGGGTAAGTCTGGGTTAAGCATCTGCCTACCCTGAAGTAGTCAATACTTGAATCTACTTCAAATTAGATTTGGTTTTCAGAATTTGCTAAGTTAAAAATTTTGTCAGACTACAAGCGAACTGACTAAACGATTCATTCAGGTAGGATCACCTTATTAAAATTCTGAAATATTTTGCCTATGTCTTCTGTTTTGAAATATAGTGAAGATGCAACTTGGGAAGTTTGGTTTTGCTTGATCTCAAGAACAAAAATGACTGAGGCACCTAAGACGAATCATATGAGCAGTGAATAAAAATACACTCTTTTATTCAAGACAAATACAATTTTTTATTCAAGACATTCAGAAGCCAAACTATAACATTAGTGAAAAAAACGCTTGTGATGATTAATTTTATTGTGAATACTAATTAGTTGTTATTTCTAGACCTGTGTGGGAGCTGAGAGCAAAGGAAAGAAATTAAATGCTGCATTGCAACCCAAATTAGTATGGCGCTGAGGTTAGTGGAATTCTTAACATTTGGGTTGTCCTTTACCAGGTTGGAAATTTCAAGGGAACATAAGGAGATCTTATACCCCAAAGCACTATTCATCAAAACTACTTTATTTAAGAGCATCTGTGTCTCACCAAATCCAGCTTAAACTATATCAGTTGCCACCTTTTTTGTCATGTACAATAATTGTCATATCATGCTCCCATCTCCCTATAGCCATGTCCTGGAAAATGTTTAGTGTGATATCACTAACTATAGGAGAAGGCCTCTTTTTTACTTTGAATGTTGTATATCACTTCAGTAAGAACCGGGTGCCAAACCCCCTTAGGTGCCTTCAAAAATCCCACCTGCTGCCTATGTCAGTTTTAGATTCCTAAATACCCTGTCAGCGTATGCCTGGAAAAACGTGACAAGATATAGGTGCATGAATGAAGGCACTAAACATACACAGAAATAAGAATCTAATTTTTTTTACCATCTTTAATAACTTAGCAGCCACCTAGCTGCATGTTTTGGAAATCAAAGCAGGTGGCAGGGAGACAGAAAGTGAAACAGCTTGACAGAAATATTTAATTCCCCAGACTACATTTCACAAACTCTGCCTCCAGGAAAATGTGGCTGTTTTAAGCTGCTCTGTCAGCACAGCTGATTTGCCCAGCTCGCCGTGCCCACTGATGATGCAGATGTTACCCGTAGCTTAATCACATGAAGTTTGGCCCTAGGTAACAGTAGCACCTTTGGGCTGCGACAGTGCCCTTACTGCTGCAATGGGCCAGCAGACCCTGTCTGGCCAGGTGTGATGAACCAGAGGCTTTTCTAAGTGACTGAGAACCAAATGATCTCAAAGCTGCCAAGGAAGGAGGGGCATGTGGGCCAATCAATGCTCCTTTTGTGGATCCTGCCATTGCTTTTTGTCACTGTTGCTCTGGTAGGTTTGGCTTTCCCCTGCATGAAAATGGTGTGAAAACTGCATAGCCATTTGGATAGCAGTTCCAAACCTGTTCTTGTTAGAGCTCAACAAGAGCTAATTGAACTTGCTAGAGAGGCAGGGCTCATTTCTATGAGGAGCCAATACTGTTAGCAATTTAAGAGATGTAGAAGTTATAAGATGGGCTCAAATGCTGTGCAGTTGGCTGAAGACCAGACTGCAGGCAGCATAATAATTTGAGCCTTTTAATGTTTACCTTTGGTTTTGAGTCCCCCCACCTTTTGTTTTTACTCTTTTTTATGCAATCCTAAGGGCTGGACACTTGCTAGCGATAATTCAGTACTGTGACTTCAAGAAGGGGGATTTTACTTGAATGAACAAATTTACTAGAGGCAATAAAAATCACTGAGTTTAGACAATATTATGGTATCCTTTGATTTTTCCCAGGGGAGAGCTAAACAGTCAGAACTGAAACTCTATAAATATCCTGCAAGACTGACTACATTGATTTTGAGTATTATCTGATTATCAGTTTTGATTCCAGCTGTGTTGCACCTATGTGAGTTCTGGGCACTGAAAACATGTTCGATTCCTTCAAACAAAGAACTTTCAGAAGTGAACCAAATGCTTCTGATTTATTTTATTGTAGATCTAGAATGACTACTAGGATAATAAAAATTTCCAGTGTGTCTGGCAGTGATAGACTGGATATTGAGGTACAGTTGTGTTCCCAAACTTTCAGTTACTTCAGATGCTTCAGAAGCACTGAAACCTCAAAGGTAGGAAATGTGATTTGAAAACTGAATTATCTTCTGACTGCAATGGGAGTTTGCTCAGAGTGAGGACTCCCCAGGTTTCCTTCCTTAATGCAAGAAAAGGACGTTCAAGTTGGCCATGCCTGGGTGGAGACAATAGGAGGAGACAGAATTTCCATGGCTTACTGCCTGCCTCCTTGCCCAGGGCTTTGCATACACAGTGAGGATGGAAGGTTATACAGTAGCTTCCCCCCACATCCTACAGGGTTCACAAAGGGAGATAACACTTGTTCTGCCAGAAACCTCTGCCACACATGTTCAGTAAAAGGTTGAACAAAGAACATAGTCTTGGGACCAGGGTTTGAGTGCAAAACGCACACTGTCACCAGAAGAAAATACTTACTAACAGTGTGGCAAATGTCACCTGCCAGCACTAGATTTTTTATATCCTGGTTCATTCTTTCTATGCTCTGTGGAAGAGTATGCTCACATTTATCATCGTGGTCCCCAGGCGTCATGGTGTGCAGTAAGATGTGGAGAATTTAAAAAAATGTATATCACAGTGTGATTGCTGCTGGCACATCAAGTGCCAGATGCCAGCTACAATGTATTCATAATAGAATTGATGCATATTTAGTAAGTAGCAAATGCTCCATTTGAAAACTTAAGAGTTTTGCAGCCTCTGGGAAATTTGCAGCTGTAAAGGGGAAATTTGGAACTCGTGAATGTTCTAACAAAAGTTTACGAATCCTGTTTTCAAGCCTTTGTTCTTAGCATCCAGTGTCTATCTGAAGTAACTGGTAGAACCAAGCATTTATATTAAATAAACCATATTTGCATAAACAAAGTCTAAGCTGAAGTAACAGACACACTTCCCTTTTTATCTTTCAGACATTTTCAAAATATGTCTGCATAAAATCCAAATTCAAGTTTACCTTAGTCTACTGTCAAAAAGAGGTTGATTTGCATGGTTTTGTTGCTCGAACCTAGGGTTGCACTCTCCACAAATCTATGGTTGCTCAAAGCTGTCAGGAGATGGGGAAATTCAGCTGTACTTTACTAACTCACACACAGTCTCTGTGGACCTTGCTCACACCTGCATTGAATGCAGCTGGAATGAGGGCAGGCCTGTGGAAAAGAAAACATGGACATACAATTTGCCAGCAGTTATCAGAGGCTTGGATAGGGAATGGAAAGCTGTCTTGGTAGAGAAAACCCCAGGGATAAGAAATGTGAAGCCTGGAAACACAAGCCAATAGGCATATAAGCCACTAATAGGAACTGCAAAATACCTAGGCAACTGCAAAATACCTAGGCAATGACTACCACACATCTCTTTTTGGAACACCTAACGTTCGTAAGACCTGATCTGTTTTTCTGTGTACTCCAACGTAAGCATCCTGTATGGCTTCCACTGAGAAAAAAGTGGGGCATTTTTTTTTGTCTCGGTAAGGGGGCTAAGATTTCAGAGCTGTA